GTTATCAACCCTCTGTAAAATCCATAACAGGTTAAATACTGTCTTATTTCAAAAGGGAAGAATCAGGCACATTTAAGTAAAACCAAGGTCCAGAAAGACAGGTCAAGGTCTTGTAAATGATGCACAAGCATTGTGTGTTCACATATTCAACTGCCCTGTTGTGTCCATAAAACAGTTTCCTTTTACTTACCCACCCCCTCTGGCTCTTACAGTCTTTCTGCCCTCTCTTCAATGATCCCTGGGACTTAGGAGGAGAGGGGGTGATATAGATGTCTCTTATTTTCTGCATGTTGACCAGTTGTGGGTTCCTATGTTAAACTCCATCTGTTGCAAGAAGATGCTTCTCTGGTGAGAACTGATAGATGCGCAAATCTTTGGTTATAACAATAAGTCATTAGGAGTTGGTCTAATATTATCCATTTAGAAGGATAATAGTAAGTTTTCCTCTCTGACCTATGACTTGTCTAACCACAAGATCTTGGCCCAATAACTGTGCCAGATGTGGGCTCCATATTGTGAAGCAGGTCTTAAATTCAATCAAAAAGTGTTCGGTTACTCCTATACATTTATTACCACTATTTGACCAGTGGGCATATTTTATCAGGACAGTTTTTATTGCAGCTTGCAAGGTTCACAGCTGCATAAAATTGATGATTGCTTTTCTCTTCTTGTATGTGCGTAACACCTTCCAGCACTCTGAAAGATAGACAGTAGAGATGAAACTTCGAAGTCAGGACCAGCTTGATTTCTCCATTTTTGTTATACAACTCACATATGTAGTCTATCCAACAATTGGTTATTATTTGAAGATGATATGATTCTAGCCATAAGCAATTTTTTACTTTGCTGCCACTGTTTGGAGTGGGGATATAGATGTTCAACCTGAATTAATCTGATGGCTTTGAAGTGACAAAGGATAGTGGAAAATTTGCAGATACTTGCATCAGTGGTTCAGAAAAGCTTGTTAGCTGCTGGTAGCACTTCTCTGTGCTCAGATACCTGTGATGTGTGATGCATAGTGACTCTTTTAGTATCCCAAAAGCAGGCAAAATAGTAGCGTCCTAAATGACCTAAGCACAGCATTGATTTAAGAATGCCTAGTTATCAGCTTGGGCATCTACTACTTCTGTTTCCTTTTTTCTTGTCTAATTCTGTACCTTACCATCCATGCAACTGGATGGTATGATGCTTATGATTGTGACATTATAAGGAAGAGGATCACCTCTCCAAACAGCTTATCAGTGGTATCAAACAAACTAACAGACAACAGAATCATGGGGGAAGCATGGCAGCAAAGGTGGCTGGAGCAGAAAGCCCACCACTCACATCTTCAAGTGGGCGCAGGAAGCAGAAAGGAACTGGAAATATGGCAAGGCTTAAGAATTCTCAAAGCCTTCCCCCAGTGACATGCTTCCTCCAGCAAACCCTTACCTCCTAACACCTTCCAAAACACTGCCACCAACTGGGGACAAATGTCCAAATACTTGGAGCTTGTGGGCATTCCCATTCAAACTACCACAAGTATAAAAATTTATATGCCCAAGGATATGCATTAAATATTGTGTTAAAGAGCAGGGTCAAGGCTGGAGAGATGGCTCAGTGATTCAGAGCACTGCCTGCTCTTGCAGAAGACCCAGGTTCAAGTCCCAGCACTCATGTGGCAGCTAACAACTGTCCATAACTCCAGTTCCAGGGGATCCAATGCTCTTTTCTGTCCTCCATGGGCACTGCACGACACTGGCGCACTCGCATACATGCACACAATACATGCATACACACACACACACACACACACACACACACACAAAGAGCAGGGTCCCTGGGATCAGATGGCCTCAGCTCCAGTCTTGGCTTCTTATTGGTGTGCCACCTTGTGCAAATCATTCACCTCTTGTCTATAAAAGTGACTTTGTGGCACTTCATAGGGTCTATCATAGTATGTGATATAAATTAATAAGTAAAGGTGTTTAGGATGGTTCTTGGCACTTAGCATTTTTTCCTAATAAGGGTAAACTGAGAATATCTTGCATATTCACTTCATTAAAATGTGCTATATTTCATAGGTTTTACTATTAAGAGAAAAAAGCAGTCTGCATAATAATGTGTTAAATGTGAATGTCGAATAGTTGTATATCAAAATGCTATATTTGATGCTGGATTTATACTATATTTGAAGTAATTTACTTATCATCCTCATATAGTAAGTAGAGGTGGGACTGACATAAGTCACTTAACTCAGGTTCTGTGCTTTGGGTTAGGTGTTCTGTGTGTGAGTTTAGTAACAGAAGAGTGATGCTGAGCTACTGCATCTGCAGCAATGACCGATTGCTTACCCTGTTTAAAGAAAATGAGTAGAGGGCCTCCCCTTTTATCTTGACTGTCAACTACTAAATAGCTGGAAAGTTTGCAGGTCTCCAGTCCTTCTCATATACATTCTGTTTAGTGAATTGGTTGACGATTCCATATTCTTTATAAAATCAGCTTTTGCAGCTGGGCATGGATGGTAGCATGTATTCCTAGTCCTAAGAGGTTGAGACAGGAGAATCTGGAATCTGAGTTCAGGAGGCTGAATTCAGGAATTCAAGGCAAATCTGGACAACACAGTGACCCCCATCTCAAAATAAAAAGAAATTAGCTTCCTGTGTATCCCTTAAAGAGGGTTCATTGGTTTTTATATTGCATTTATCAAATTATAATTTTTAAATTTTATTTCACTTTTTTTTTGAAAATTTCATGTATGACTACACTGTATTTCCATCTTTTCTACCCTCTGTCTACTCCCTCCATCTCCTCTGTTCCCCCAACCCTTCTCCAATTCATGATCTCTTCTCTAATTATTATTATTATTATTATTATTATTACATATGTATACATGCATACACACACAAATATACATATGTAATCTACTGAGTCATTAGTGTTGCCCATATATACATGTGTTTAGGGCTGACCACTTGGAATCAGATTACCTGTCAGGGGTTTGTCCCTGGAGAAAACTGCTTCTCCCTTTCTCAGCAGCCATTGGTTGCCTACAGTTCCTCATCTAGATATGGAACCTTGGGACATTTTCCCCCATCCACGTTGGCATGTCGACTGGTGTGGTCATTGTGTGGGTCTTGTGAAGGCAACCAGATTTTTTAATTAATTAATTTAATAATTATAAGTGTATGTGTGTCTAAGAGGGAGAGAGAGAAAAGAGAGAACAGAGGAGATAAGAGAAAGGTGTAGGTCAAAGGACAACATTGTGGATCCAATACCCTTATTTGGGTTCTAGGGACTGAACTCAGGTCATCTAGCTTGTGTAGCAAGCACCTTTATCTGCTGAGCCATCTTGTCACCCCCCCCCAAATTATAGTGTATTAAAAAGTCATTAGCTGAAGCAACTATGAAGTAGCTCCTTATTTTTTTTCAGATGTTCAGAAGATAAGATCTAAAGTACTAGAACAAAATGACCTTGGGCCCTGCAAACATGGACCTGCAAACATGGACGAGCCAATATATTGAGTTCCAGTAGTAATAAAATGTAGAATAAACTTATCCTTTAGTTTAGAAGACATAACTACTATGAGTCACAGGCATCCTGAGGAAGCAATGGATTTTTAGTAACTGTTTCTGTTCTAGAATTTCTGTTTTTTGTAGGCAGTTAAATTATAACTCATGGTTTTCTGCATGTCTTTTAATAAATGAAAAATGGTGTTTCTAAGTAATATATTAAAAAATATCATAACTCTAGAGGCTACAACCACGGGATGTTATTTTTGAAAACCGCCCATCTTTTTCAATAACCAGTTAGATGATCTGCTAACAGACAAAGCTAGGCAAATCGGGCTGTCGGGAAATGTGCATAGCTGGATTATCCTACCAATAATGAGTCCTTGAGATTATAAAATGCTAGGTTCACCCAGTGCATTTCACAAAAGCAACTAAGTTCAGGGAACTTTGGAAGTTTGTCTCATCATTAGAGTCTGTGCCATATATAAGGTCCCATTAAACTGCCACTCGAATGTGCTAAGAGCTGGGCATGAGAGTACTCTTCAGCTAAGGGGTCATTCGTGATTCTTTCTCAGTAGAAGCTGATTCTGGGGGATCCTGGAAGGATGTAATTTTATCTTTCTTTTGAAATGCCGTTTTATTGCTTCCATTGTTTCCTGTTTCCTCTTCTACCCTCCCCTCGCTTCCTCAGAAAAAATCTATGGAAATAATTCCATTATGGATATACCAGAACTATGCCTGTTTATTAGAACGGTTTTATATGATTCTACCACCTGGTATGTTTCTATCACAATCACACACCCAATTCTCACCTGTTCTGACAATATCCTGTGATCTTTGTAAACTAAGGCATAACCCTCCCCCAAAGCAAATATTCACATTTCTGTATAACTCACACGTCCCATCACCACTGGCACTCTGTTTGGAAGTGCTAATTTCCTGCTTTTGGTTAAGGTTTTGTCCTTTAAAAACAAACAAAACCTGAAGCTGAAGTCAGAGAAAGTCAGATCTGTAATCAGTGTGGTTCAAGCTGCTCCTAGGGCCCAGGGCTTTCCTCCTGACTGCTTCTAACCCACTGTCTCTAGACCTAAGGTGCCAAGTTCAACTATCATGAGCTAACTACAAAAGCTCAAAGATAAACTGTCTTAGAAAAACTACTGTTGATCAGTTTGCTTTTTATCCTGCTTGCACTTTGGGAGGCCTGTGCTGTTGAGTGAGAGCTGCCCCAGGGGAGGCGGGATTCCTTGCTCTGCCTGGACCACTGTTTATAGTCTGCTGGAGACTGGCATCTTTAGGAAACTGTCTGCCTGTGCTTCTAGCCTATGTTTATGAAATGATGTCTTGTGCTTGTGCTTTCTCTTGTCCTCCCTGAAGAAGGAGCATTTGGAAGCTCTGGAATCTTGGCCCTTGCAAAGCTCAGGCCACAGGGACCTGGAAGGCAGGGCACTGGCCAGCTGGTTCTTGGGTTTCGTATCCTTCATGCTTCTCTCTCCCCTGTTGTTTTTCAGGTAGTGAAGCAGATTTTAGCTCGTCCAGCAGCACAGGCAGCATCTCGGCTCCTGAGGTTCACATGTCTACTACCGGAAGCAAGCGGTCCTCTTTCTCACGCAAGTAGGCACTGACTTGTGCTCTGTAATTAAGAAGCTTTACACGGGTGACTTCCTGTACCTTAGGGTTCTATAGAACCACTTGGATTACTGACCATTCTGATTTTGTTGTTATTCAGTGAGGTTTATCTTTAGGAATTTTACAGTGATTTGCAACTGGTCCTTTCCTTATCTCACCTACTGTTGTCCTGTGACTTAGCCTGCTCATCCCTGTATCTCACACACCTTGGCTCTGTGCCCTCCTCCATCCCCTCCATCTTCCTGCATTCACCTGTCTATTCACTGGGGAATTAAGCTCCTATTCTCCCACTACTTATGCTGCCCTCCCCTCCTCATGAGCTCATTGTTTTCTAGCTGGCTGCAAAGCCTCTAATTTCATTCTTTTTTCTAGCTGGGTTTCTATTTTTTCTTCTGTGAAGGAAGCAGTTGCCTCTGACTCTTTCCCAACATTTACTTGGAGGAGTGGAGAAAGTATGAAATTCAAAGGTGTGGGTGGTCAGCACCATCAGAAGCAACAGAGCACAGCATCTGGATATGTGCGCTCTGGGTCCAGGCCATCTTGGCTTGAGCACCAACACCACCATCTATGGGCTGCATGGCCCTGAGCAAGTGGCCACTTCTCTATGCTTCAGTTTCCCGGCCATAAATTGAGCTACCTTCCTCACAGGGTTTCTGGTTGGGTCAGTTCTTGGCATGTGGTAAGCATAGTCAAGAGTTTACCATTAAATTTGGAGGTAGAGGACTGTGGGAAAATACATGCCAGCCTTCACATTTAGTGGGAGGCATTCTAAGCCCAGGATTCTCTATCTATGACCAGTGTTATTATTCCTTAACATGTGTTCATTGAACATCTACTAGAAGGCAGTGAAAAACACTCTGTGAAAGCTAGTAGGGCACAAAAGATAATAAATGGATACATTATATAATTGTGGCTCTTTAAATATGCAATTAAAGGAAATAGGGAGTAATGGGGCATGCAGTATAGTATTGATGGGCTCATCCTGGGATACCTCACTGATAAACTGAGCAGGAACTGACAAGAAGTCATTGAGTGGCCCTACCACCACGTACTGAACACTTGTCTTCTGACTTGATTAAATCACTTCCTGTTCTGGGCCACAGTATTCAAAGTTGTAAAAAAAAAATGAAAATGTGTTCAGACTACATGATTTTCAAGAGCCTTTCAGGTCTAGAAGATTGCAACTCCAGGACTGTGCAAATATTTCCTATTTCTCTTGGGTGAGCAGAATGTTTGACTAATATTTATAAAGGGAACTCTGGTGCCTCCAGTGCAAAATGATACCTCACTGATAAACTGAGCAGGAACTGACAAGAAGTCATTGAGTGGCCCTACCACCACGTACTGAACACTTGTCTTCTGACTTGATTAAATCACTTCCTGTTCTGGGCCACAGTATTCAAAGTTGTAAAAAAAAATGAAAATGTGTTCAGACTACATGATTTTCAAGAGCCTTTCAGGTCTAGAAGATTGCAACTCCAGGACTGTGCAAATATTTCCTATTTCTCTTGGGTGAGCAGAATGTTTGACTAATATTTATAAAGGGAACTCTGGTGCCTCCAGTGCAAAATTTCATGTTAAAAATGAAGCTAAAGCTAGACAAAACTGTGAGATGAGTGGAGTTCACACTGAAAAATGGGATTGCTCCAGCCACAAACTCCCAATTTGGGCCATAAATGCCTCTGGGATCCTAAGGGCAGGAGAATACAAACATTCTCTTAATAAATAAGATGTAGCTTGTCCTGAGAAGCTAGTACACACCTACGGTACAAGGTATAAAAATGGGTCAAAAGGAAGCCAATTTTATTAAGCATTTCAAAGTAATTTGGGGTTATAGTTAAATTTTAAGGTCGTGTCAGTAGCACAGAGATCTTAGAGAAAATTTTCTAGTCTGAAATTCATGAATTTTTTAAGTGATTAGAAGTTGATATAGGTGGGTAGAGAGATGGCTCAGTGGTTAAGAGCACTAATTGCTCTTGCAGAGACCTGGGTTCAGTTCCTAGCACCCACATGGTGGCTAACAACTGTCCATAACTCCAGTTTCAGGGAATCGATGCCCTCTTCTAACCTCTGCATGACATGGGTGTGCTTACATGCATGCAAACAATATACTCATACGTATAAAATAAAAATAATAAAATTAAACTAAAAAAGATGTTGATATAGTTAATATAAAATAGTTAAGTGGGTTGATAATGCAAATGAGTATGGGCTTATGCCCAAATCATCTTTAGCCAAGTTCAAAGTTTTGACAACAATTGGCAGTTGGAACATTGGCTCCTCACTTTTGTCTGATCTAGACACAGAGTTCCATCAATAAATTTCAGAAGTGGAATATCTCAGGCATGTCATGTCATATCTTGTCATCTTTGTGTTCTGTAGGACCAAGAATTGAGGGAAATTCTAAGTGGGCTGGATATGCATGGCACAGTCTGTAGCCACTTGTTATCTATGTGACTGTCTGCTTCTTGCTGTAGCAAAGGAAGGGTAAGCAGGAACATTTGGCAAAGGTGTTGGGATGTGAGGGACAGGTGGAGTTGGTGAAAGATTCTTGACAGGTGATTTTAAAAACAAATCTTTAAAGACAAAGTAATTCATCAGCCAACTCTGATATTACTAATTACAGTCTGTCTTAAAATGTTAATCTGAAAAGAAAAAAAGACAAAATGTTAATCTGTTCAGAAGCAGATGGAAGTAAAAGTGAGAATATAGCTTGGAATTGGAGTCCTGTAGACCATTGTTTACCAGGTGTATGGCTGCAGGCTTCAGTTTCTTTTTCAGAAAACAGTGGAATAATAAAACATCTCACTGAGTTAAAAGAGCAGATAGAGGTAACTGCCTGAAAAGTGTCTAGAAGTTATTGTTTAAGGGTTTGTGTGTTGTAAAAGATGAACATGCTGCTGTGCTATTGGTGGTGATGATTACTGTGATGGTGACCCTATTAGTTTGCTGGAACTCCCAAGCAAAGCACCACGGAATGGCTGGCCTAAGCAAAGGAAATTTATGTCCTCACCACGTTAGGGACTTTGAGAAGCGTGTGATCTAGGTGTGGTAGGGTTGGTCCCTTCTCAGCTGCTGTGCTTGACTTGGAGATGGCTGCTTTCTCCTCTAGTGTTACATTGTCTTCTCTCTGTACACATCTGTGTCCAAATTTTCTATTATAAGAATATCAATTGAATGGAACAAGATCCTAATAAATGCCTAATTTTAACTTAATTACCTTCTTAAAAGCTTTGTCTCCAAATGTGGTCACATTCTGAAGTCCTAGGATTTAGGGCTCCAACGTATGGACTTGGAGCAGCTATAAAGTTCAGCCCAAAACAATGATGATAGTGGATGATGATGATAATGACAATGAAGAAATGGTAGGATGGTGATGATGATGATTGTGATGTTAACTATGGTGGTGACATGGTGATTATCTGAAGTAAAGAGCCATGGCTAGGAAGTAGTGATCCCCTGAGCCCCCATGAGGTTACTGTCTATAATTTTTTTCTCTTGCATGATACTCTTCAGGTACTCAGGAAGGGTATATGTGTAGTGAGCAGAATTTTCTCCTGTGCACTACATTGCTCTTACCCCCTAGACCAAGGACTTCATGGTGGGTGGAAGAGGCTAGCATTGGGCTTGCCTCTCTGTGGCCATGACAAACATGGAACTCCTGCTTCTCCTTAGAAAATGTCTTTTATCATTTTTGATGATAATTTTGTGTGCATGTTTGTTAATATTTGAACTGAACTAAATGAAGGGAGAGAGCAGCAGTGATCATTTTGAATAGAGATGAGTTCTCACAAAATCACCTAACAATGCTGATCGTAGATCATACTCCTCAGTGCTGTGTTGCACTAGGAATATCAGTGGTGGATTTTTTCAAACAATAACTATATCCAAGAAAGATATCCTAATAAACCTCTTTATAAGCCCAAAGCAATGTACTGCATTTCTGTAAAATGGGAAATGTCATTTTAGGGTTAAAAAGTTCTGGGTTTAAACTCCAGCTCAGCTGTCTATCTTGGACCACTCACATTCTCTGAGTCTCAATAATTATACCAGCCTGGTAGGGTGATGGTTAAATAAGATTAAATGTTCACAAAGCAACTGGAGTAGCACTGGGGTCACAGAAGGTCTTCGGGGATGGTTAACTCAGAATAAAATACCCTGGATTAAAGTTAGGGATAGTTCTTTATAGTCTCTTCTCACTTGCAAGGGTTAACCTTCATTATTTTCTTACAGTCACATTAGGAAATAGAATGGCCGGTGCCAGGCTTGGAAGTGAAACACAGAGAAGAAAATCCAAGCCAGAGTACATGTTCCTTTCAACTACTCATGAAGTTCTTCCCACCCTTGGGCTGCTGAAGTTGGTTTGTCACAAAGCCATCAGCCCATCTGTTCCATATAAAGCATCTCCTTCTTTGCAAAAAGGAGAGTGGGTCTATCTGTATGATTTCAGGAGGGAAGAACTTTTAAGTTTAGAATTTGGTGGGCTCATTAATGTGTGACTTACTTGGTTGACAGAAAATTGAATTGCGTTGGATTTTAAATAAGTGATTACAGTTACGGAGCCAAGTTTGCCCACATGCAAACTAGCGTTCACATTTACACACATTCCTCATTGAGATGTGTAAGTGGGATACAGCCAAAATTAAAATTGCAAATAGGAAGGGTTGTCAAAAACCAGCACTGCTTTATGGAGGAATCTTCTTCCTCTTTATTTTCATGCAATAACATCAAGTAATATTCCTGACAGAACTTGTTATCCTACTTAAATAATTTAACATTCTCAAGATGTGTTCTTACCCTACTGGATATCAAATCTCTGAAACTAGAGTAATAGCGAAGTCCACACAAACTGATCCTGTAATGCCAGCTGAGTTGCACAAAGCTTCTAGAAATATACTTTCATATTTAACTTTTCTTTTTTGGGGAGGGGGATGGTCTTTGTTTTTGAGACAGGTCTCATGTAGTATAGATTGGCCTCAAACTTACTATGTAGCTGAGGATGAGCTTGAACTCTTGATCCTCCTACTTCTGCCTCCCAAGTGCTGGGTTTATAGAGGTGCACTACCATAACCATGTTTGATAAGATTTTTCACATCAGTTCTGTGTGTGTGTGTGTGTGCACGCGCACATGCGTGCATGTATATGTGTACACACATCGCACACAAAGTGGCTTACCTAAGTTTGTAAATGTCAGTGTTAGGATTCACACGTAGTGTATTCATTCAGCAATCATTCTAGGCAGACATTCAAAAATATGACATAAGCATATGTCATCAGGAAACTAAGTGTTGTAGTTTCTTTTCTTTTGTCAATTACTGTGACAAAACACTATGATCAATATCAACTTGGTAAGAAAAGGGTTTATTTGGCTTACATTTCCCAGGTCGCAGTTCATCACTGAGGGAGCCCAAGGTAGGAACTCAGAGCAGGAACCTGGAGACAGGAGCTGAAGCACAGGCCATGGAGGAACACTGCTTACTGGCTTGCTCAGCCCGCTTTCTTATACAATACAGGATTACCTACCCAAGGGTGGCACTGCCCACAGTGGTCTGGGCCCTCCCACATCATTTAACAATCAAGAAGATGCTCCACAGACATGGCACAGCCCAGTCAAATGGAGGAAGTTCCTCAAATAAGGCTACCTCTACCCAAGTGTGTCAAGTTGACAACTAAAGCCATCCAGCCCACTAAGTCATTTGGAATGCTGGCAAATAGAAGAGAAATGGGGAGATGGGTTGGAAGGAGTGGTGAACTGCACTTGTAAGCCATCTTAAGGAGTCTGGCCTTCAGTCTGGAGATAGTGGAGCAGTACTGAAGGTCTTGAAGAAGTTTGATATTCCACTTCCTCCCTAGGTAGTCCACTTGTAGCCAGTATCAGCCTCCTGCTAGAGAGAACAAAGTCAGATACAGGGGAACAGAGGGCTTTTACAATATTTTAGTATTTTGGTAAGTACCAGGGGATGGATATAAGGAAGTAGCTGGGAAAATTATAGACTTGATACATTTACATAGCTTTTGGTTTTTTGAAATGACATCTCGTTATGAAGCCCCTGCTGCCCTGCTATTTTCTGTATAGCTCCAGTTGGACTCAAATTCCTAAGTACCCCCTACCCCAGCATCCCAAATGCTGGAATTACAGATGTGTACCACCATGTCTGGCTTACTCACTTAGCCTCTTTTTCTGCCCTGCTTTCCCCCCGACTCCTTACAACAACCCTCATTCCCCAAGTGAAGCACTTCTGTGTTTTACTCCAACATGAATCAAACCCAAGTATTTCCCAACCAAAACAGATTTACTTGAACAAAAACCACATCTTGAAAATAGCCTCCAAAATGAGCCTGTGCCAAATCATGTAAAAATTTTACCATGTAAAATATTGTTCTTAACAGTTGATTGAATTCAATCCAAAACAAATTTTTCTGGTTAGAAACTATTTGAAAGAACTGAAAAGGGAAAGGTTCCTAGTGCTTATGATACAAGGAAAGGAAATATCAGGTGGGTGAGAAGAACACTGCTCTTTCGGGCTGCCTCAGGGACTACATCTACCTCTACAGTACCCACATAGACTCTAGGAATCAGATTTCCTTAGCAGTAGCCAGTTTTAGGAAGGAACAAGGCAACACTTGAGCATCTCCAGCCACAAGGACTCTGATTACCACCTGTAATGCTCTTCTTCCAGCCGAGGCCCCCACGGACGGAGTAATGGAACAGCATCCCACAAGTCTGGCAGCAGGCCACCATCCCCACGGGAAAAGGACCTTCTGTCTATGCTGTGCAGGAATCAACTGAGCCCCATCAACATCCACCCCAGCTACGCCCCTTCTTCTCCAAGCAGCAGCAATTCGGGCTCCTACAAAGGAAGTGACTGTAGTCCAGTCACGAGGTGAGTCCTCTGGCCTACAAATCCACACTTCTTAGTTTGTCTTATTTGGGAAGCATTTCTTTATAAGAAGGGAAAAAATTATGCAACTCTTGATTCCCTGCCTCATTCTATAATAAGATACTTCTCTTCTTCCCCTCAGTTAGTTACTCCTTCAAGTATTGCTGCAGAAAGAACACAAAGCACAAGCTCTTGTAACCTGCAGCAGTCCAAGCACTTAACTGGATGGGTGTGAGAGTGGCACAGTGGCAGAGGGAGAAAGTTCTCATTTTTTCAGCACAAGGAAGAATCTTGCCTGTGTCCTTTAATTCATTCCAACATTAAGTGCTGATTGAGCAGTAGGATCTGTGTTCAACACAGAATAGCATGGGGAACAGAAATGACCCTTGAAGAAAGATGCTAACTAGCTAATGACAAAAAATAAATAATAAATAAAGATGATTCTGAAAGTGTCTGTTGCTATTATGGATGTGTAAAAGGTAGGCAGGGGCCCAATTCAGGATGTAGGGATCAGAGGCCATACTAACAACAAAACTGAAGTGAGATCTAAAAGGTGAGTAGGGAGTTAATGCTGGGTAGGATGGGTGTAGAGGAGGAGTAGGAAGGAACTGCATGCATATCTGAAGTGGTCAGAGAGAAAGGCTGGAGGGTTGGGAACTGGACAGGGGCCATATTGAACAGCATGGTGGCTTGGACTGGGTCCAAGTCCGGGAAGAAGCTGGCAGCCCATTTGAAACCCTCTTCCTCCCCAGCATCCCCATTCTCATTAATCAGCTCTCTTACAGCTGGGATGCCCAGCTCTTAGCCAGGCCTGAGAAGGGCCAAGATTCCAACTGGGCTGTGTTTGCAGAACATTGAGTGCTTCTCCACAAACACACTGGTTCAGAGTAGGACGGCCTTGTTCCCTTCGGAACAAGGAAGTTTCCATTCCCACAAAACCAGCACTCACACTGGCATTGATTTCAGAACAATCGGAGCTCTACTAATAATAATCAGGATACTTCGGGGCACATTGTGAGGAAAGTGAGGTAATTTCACTTCTTTTTCTCCTGCTCCCCCATCAGTTTTGCCTTAATGTAGCACCATGCTACTCTGAACTGAGAGCCCAAGCCTGTGGACAGCCAGGCATTATTTAATGTGAAACCATCCCTAAGGCTTAAAAACCCTCCCTGCACTGTTTGAACCTTCCACAAACACACATAGCCTCAGTCTTCCATGTAATAAATAGCCCTAAGATTGACAGATATTAGTCCATCTTCTGCCATGAGCTATCAGGTATGACCCCAGCACACAGCTGCTCTTCTTTTCCAGCTGTCAATTGTGTATGTGTTTGGTCATCTATAGCAGAGTGACAAACACATCTGGAGACTTTGGGTCTGAAAGCAGGTGCCAGCATACTCAGATTCTGGGGAGGGCTCATTCATGGGTTTTAAACTCCTGACTTTATTGTGTCCTCACAAAGTGGAAAAAGACCTAGAAAGTTCTCTGAAGTGCTTTCTAAAAATAATTAGCATATATTAATGATATAATGGTTTTCACTGTGACATTTTTATTCATGTATATAATATACTCAGATTATATTTATGCTCCTTTTTCTTCCTCTTCCCAGAGTTAGGGTCCCGTCACAAAGGCTTTATGCTCATTGTGTCCCAATTGCCTCCCAAAGGCCCCATTTCCTAACACCATCACAGCAGGGGGTAGGATGTCAATCTGACAGTTTGAGGGGTTTGCATAGGCATCCAGTCTATTACTCTCTTTTATTCCACAGAGAAGAAAACAGGGTAAAAAGTAAATGTGATTACTTGAATTGTTTCAGGCGGTCTGGAAGGTACATGTCTTGTGGAGAAAATCACGGTGTCAAGCCCCCAAATCCAGAACAGTATTTGACACCTCTGCAGCAGAAGGAGGTCACAGTGAGGCACCTGAGGACCAAGCTGAAGGAGTCGGAGCGCCGACTTCATGAGAGGTGACTGTGCCTTTCCCTCAGGGAAGTCTAGGGCACTTCCTTCTCTCCATAAAGTGATACATAAACCCAGATTATATAAAATGGAAAAGAAAAAATAGCTTTAATTAAAATTAACCCATTCTCTAAGCAGAGTCGTTTTGTATTTCCTTGTGTCCCAGCTCTTGCAGGAGCTCACGGTGGCTGGCAGGTTAGAGGGGACTCTGTTTCCTGGGTGTGTTCAGCTTTTACATGAAGAACTGGGTGTGTGCATGACTATTTTTAAATGGCAGATACACTTGCAGAAACAATTCACTACTTCCAGCAAAACAGGTCACAGTGGCCCCATCAAGCCCTGCTTATCTCTGGAGAGAGTGAATAGCTGTGTGTACTATAGTCCTGCCAGCTGTTTCTGTACTAAAGGAAGGGCTTCATTATTTTTGGCCAGTCGTTAAGGCTAGAATAAAATTAAAAAAAAAAAAAAACACAAAAACCAAAAACCTCTGTCACAATCTTAACCCAGATTGAAAAAACTTCTGACATCTTAGGAACAAGCCAATTTTTCTGCTTCATGGTTTTTCCCTGGAACTTCTCAGGACAGACTAGCAGGAAATTCTGCTCTAACCAGGGAGATGTGTCCTTGAGGAGGGTAGCACTCATATCTCTGGGAACTCCGGGTCTGGTTCAGCATAGGACTACTTGATCAGTCTCATCCTCCTCTGCTGCCACAAGGATATGGTAAAGGCCTAATGACCTTGATTGCCAAAGCTTGGGCAGACAGTGGTATTCTCAGGGAGGAGGAATGTTTTCATCTTCCCATTTAATTTGATTCTTTACCTGCTTGAAACAGACTTGGGGGGAGCATTGTGGACTCCTTTGATTTATGAATTCAGAAGTGCAAGGGAAGTTTTGCACTCGTGTACAAGGAGAAAGTATGGGAAGCAGGAAACCTCAAGAAAATACTCGTCTAAACTTGAAGAAGCAGTACTAACCACTCTTCAGATACATGAAGATCCTGACTCCCTAGTCTTTGTATTCACGAGTAATATGAAGATAAACATTTGCATTGACTTCAAAGAAAGTATATGTATGAATTTCTTGACAAAGGATTTGAAAGGTTATTGTAAAGGATGTACAATATTTCATAGATTTCCCATCAGCACAGAATAGACTAATTATCTTCTGACCCGAGATGAGATCGAGTAAGCAATGATTCACAAAGCATTCTTAACATGAAGAAGCATTTTATGGCTTAATAAAATATCAGGCTAGAGAGATGGCTCAGCAGTTAAGAGCACTGGCTGCTTGTACAGAAGACCTGGGTTCAGTTCTAGTATGTACATGGCTGTGAACAGTCCCTGACTCCAGTTCCAGGGGATATGAGGCCCTCTTCTGACCTTTTTGGGCACTGCATGACAGACATTCACTTACATACATGGAGGCAATATACTCATACACATAAAATAAAAATTTTAAAAATTAAAAAGAAAATTGGAATATAACATTTCAGCTTCTCTTTAATGAGTAACTAAAAGTTAAATGAATTTTTTCCTTCCACATCATTTATAGGTGCTATACAAGAGTCGAGTAAAGAGATAAAAGCAGGCTAAGGGGGGCTGGAGGCTCAGTCAGTTAAGAACATGGACTGTTCTTGCAGAAGACTCGAGTTCGAATCCCAGCACCCACATGGCAGCTAACAACTGTCCGTTCTAGGGAGTCCGACAGCCTCTTCTGTCCTCTGCAAGCATTGTACAACACGGGTGCACTTACCTACATGCAGGCAATACACTCATACATATAAAATAAAAATAAAATATATTTTAAAAAAATTTTAAAAAGATTAAGAGGCATAGTAAAATTTCAAATACTAAGTGTTACGTACAGGACAATTCTAATAAAGTACTTAGTGCAATGCCTGATCCACAGTGAGTACTCAAAAAAGGAAACAATGGCAGCTATTTTGATTCTGATTCTAGTTGCTATTATTAGCTTAGCTGTTTTACAATTAAAGTGAGGGAAGTTCCATGGCTAATAAATGCCAAAATAAATTCTGAAATTGCTTTAGCTTCTGTATTTCATGTGGAAGAGTGTAGGCTTTGGACTGGTGTCAGAAGTCAGTTGCCTGTTTCAGAGTTGACTTTTTTTTTTTTTTTCTAAACTGTGCTTGCTTCTCCTTTAGGGAATCTGAAATCATGGAGCTCAAGTCTCAGCTGACTCGCATGAGGGAAGACTGGATTGAAGAAGAGTGCCACCGGGTGGAGGCTCAGTTGGCACTCAAGGAAGCCAGGAAAGAGATTAAACAGCTCAAACAAGTCATTGAAACAATGAGGAGCAGCTTGGCTGACAAAGATAAAGGCATTCAGAAGTATTTTGTGGACATAAACATTCAAAACAAGAAGCTGGAGTCTCTGCTTCAAAGCATGGAGATGGCACACAATGGTTCTCTGAGGGATGAACTGTGTCTAGACTTTTCCTTTGATTCCCCAGAGAAAAGCTTACCCCTAAGCATCCCATTTAACAAGATGGCAGATGGATTATCGCTGGAAGAGCAGGTCACAGAGGAAGGCGCTGACAGTGAGCTGCTGGTGGGAGACACCATGGCTGATGGCACAGATTTGTTGGATGAGATGGTGACAGCCACCACCACAGATTCCGGTGACCTGGAGTTTGTTCACTTGATCCCAGGGTCAAAAGCCTTCAAGGCTGTTCCTTTGGAGGTGGGCCAGGAGGAAGGCAGCATGGTGGTGGAGCAGGCAGTGCAGACGGATGTGCTGCCCTACAGCCCTGCCATCCCAGAGCTCATTCAGAGTGTACTAAAGCTTCAGGACTCCTGTCTCACGAGCTCAGGATCCCCAGATGAGTCTGGAGCCGACTCCATGGAAAGCTTCCCAGAATCTATCTCTGCCTTAATGGTTGATTTAACTCCAAGAAGTCCCAACTCAGCCATCCTCCTGTCTCCTGTGGAGACTCCATTCAGCAAGGCAGCTATGGAAGCCCGTGCGAATCGCCTCATGAGAGAGCTGGATTTTGCTGCCTACACAGAAGAAAGGTTGGATAGCATCCTCTCACTGTCTCAGGGGGGTGTTGTGAGGCAGTACTGGAGCAGCAGTTTCCTGGTGGATCTCCTGGCTGTGGCTGCTCCTGTGGTACCCACTGTTCTATGGGCATTCAGTACTCAGAGAGGGGGAACAGATCCTGTCTACAATATCGGAGCCTTGCTCCGGGGCTGCTGTGTGGTGGCCTTGCATTCACTCCGCCGCACAGCCTTCCACATGAAAACCTAATTAGAAGTTGTTACTGTGTGCCAATGTGTCCTGTGTGGCGTTGTGCCAGGTAGAGAAAGAGCAGGTGGATCTGTGGCAGTCTCTATTCTGTCGTGTTGCTCCTCGGTATTTGATTTGCACTATAGTTAGTTGAAACCTGTTCACTCTGTAAAACCAGAGGTATCTTCAAAGGCATGGAGACCTGGTTCCAGTAAATGTCCCACCAGAGTGGTGTAGAAAGCATGCTCATGCCCCTGCCGTGTCGTCTGAGGTGCCCCTTCTACTAGTGGTTCAGGAAGAGAAAATGCAGTTTGCACTTTCACCACAGCCTCTAAGGCTGGCATGCTATCTCCTTGCTTTGCTTTGTGCCGATTTAAAATGTGTAATTGTTCCAGCACTCCAATGGTCTTGTGCATAGCAGGGGACTGTAACCAAAAATAAAAATGTATTTGTGTAATTGGTTCAAAGAAGTCTTGAATAGCTCTTTAGTATCTTAACTTGGGGTTGATAAGGTTTGAATGTTTGCAATTTTTTACTAAGTGTAGCTTCAAAGTCTTAAATGGCTTGTTTGTTTTTAAACCTGTTAATTGATGAAACTGTTATGTAAATTGACAATGTACTAACTTATTTTTTGCTTATTATATATAGTGTTTTATTGGAAATTGTTTGTAATCACACACTTCAGCATGATGAAAATAAAGATTTGTGTTTCAATTTAAATAAATGTTTTATCCTCCTAAATTATGTCAGTGAGTTTACCTTATCAATAAGATTCTGTAAAAATGGAATTAACTAGAGAAAAGAGAAAAGGCAAATACTTATTTAAAGAAAGGTGAAGGGCTGAAGAAAGGGCTCAGTGGTTAAGAGCACATACTGCTTTTGCAGAAGACCCAGGTTTAGTTCCCAGTACCCAAGTCAGATGGCTCACAACCACCTATATAACTCCATCTCCAGGGTATCTGAAACCTGTGACTTCTATGGGCACCTGCACACATATGCATATACCCACACGGACACACATATGTAGACATAATTAAAAATAAATCTTTAAAAAGTGAAGGCTTCCTACCTTGAAAAGTATTTCTGAAATAAAACAGCTATGATTCTTTTCTTTTAAATAAGTCACATATTTGCTCACATGCAAATTTATTCAGTAAGCATGTATTAAGTCTTTCCAGGGAAGGTGAACAGTTTAAGCTTGCTAGCTGGTTTACATGGGCACATGGATGCCATGGAAGTGGTTTGGATTCAGTACCAGAATATACTGAGGAACTTCAAACAGAACGATGGTATTTTTTTTTAAACTAATTGCTGTAGTATATTGTATATTGTAGTCGGTCAGGAATGGGAATACGGACACTAGGTTCTATTGTAATAGTGCAGATGAGAGGTTGACCACTTGGAGACTGAAGTACATATATTGATTAAGTAGAATAAAGACAAATGACAGATCAGAGAGGAGGTAGGGTGAAAGGAAAAGGGAAATTAAGGATAACTCTAGAGTTTCCAGCTTGAGCAACTAAACCAGTGAGTACCATTTACTGAAAATGGAGATCAAGAAAAACAAGTTTGGCTATGGAAAAAATTGAGATGTCTACTAAAATAGTTATGTGGCAATGCCAAGTAATTACATATACGTATGTGAAAATCCCAAGGATGCCAGAGTTAGTTATAAAATAGGGGCTCCTTGATTTCACACAGTATTTAAAACCATAGGAACAGATGAGATTGAAGAAATGGGAAAAAAGGCCAAGAACTGAGTGCTGTCTTACATCCCCATTTAGACAAAAGTGAGGGATGAAACATTGACAAAGCCAGAGAAGTAGCCTAAAGATCAGGAAACAAGGTGAATGTAGAGGGAAACCAGGAGTGATTTGAATGGAGTGTTAAAAGTCAACCAAAAGGATGAATCCTCTGGCTTTGACAGCAAGATCTCAGTGACTTTGTTAACTCATCTTTGAGGGAGATAGGGATGAAAGCCAGCTGTAGTAGGTTAAAGAGTGACTGGAAGGGAGAAAGTGAAAATGAATGCATGTAGCTAATTTAGTTTCAGTTGCTTTAAGTTTTATTTAGAGGGAGGTAGGAAAATGTGCTAGAGAAGGCAGGTCAAGAGGCTGATTTAGTGAGTGAACCATTAAAGAGAGAGAAATTAACATAGAGAGGGTTAACTGAAGAACAGAATTTTAGAGAGGATCTAGGCAAGACGCATGCATGGAGAGAGGTCTCTGTGAGAAACCTATCTACTGGAATGCATATGTACCCTGGGCACATACATTTGTACTTACACAGTACACACGTTGTGGTTCTAGTTAATAGAAGAGCTATTTGGCTGAAAAGGAAGGGAAGACTATTTTGGGAGGTGAATATCTGGGAATGTTCCAAAATAATGAGCCATACTGACTCAGGCCCTTTCCTGTGGTCCAGCCCAGACTAACACTTGGATACTGGTTGCTTCCTTAAGTCTCTCCTCTTGTTTATTTTCAGCCATTACTAAATTAAGGAATTTTTACTTTAAGAAAAATTATATGCCTGTTTGTGAAGTCTGTTTGTTGTTGTCACAGAAATAAATGTAACCAGCAGATCTGCTGCTATTAATTCAAGATGGACTTAAGAGGAAGGGCTTGGTGAGAAACCATCATGAACCATACATGTTGGAAAATTAGAAGCAGCTGATCATCAGCAGCAAATTTCTTCCTGGCCTTAACGTCTTGCATCCTCTCCAGAAATCAAAGTTGAAAAGAAAGCAATTCATTGAAGACAGCAGACCCTGCATGTTCTATTCACAGTGAAACAAATTCTCAGAAAGGTAAGGAGGGTCCTGCCATAGTTATTCTCTTCCATTCCCAGTCCCCCATCTGCTTTGGTTTTTCAGCATGCGTATATAGTCTGTGGAAAATTACTACTTTTATTCAGACCAGTCTCGCAAATGAGTTTCTTGGAATAAAAAAAGGATGAAACATCCTTGCCTTTCGGAAGCCTAAGGCGTTGCCTGCTTTTGTGGACAGGATGATCTGATCCCATAGAAAGAAGTGCCTCAAAGTTGTTTTTGGTAATCTGGGTGCCTCTGATGTACAAACAGGCAGGAAAATGGAAACAAGAACAATTCCAGTCTCCTGAACAAACTGCTGTCCTATCAAAGCAAATGTTAAACATTTCCTAAGGTTATGTGAGCAAACATTCCAATTTATAAGAAAAGATTTTTTTCCCAAAGGGACATGCTGACCTTTCCGAGTTGAGCTGTTTGGGAGGGGGCGGGGGGTGAGGGTGTTGCAAAGCATTCAGATGCCTAGCCTTTCTGACATTTGTGGCAGAATAAAAAGGAAGTCTGTGATCTGCATTTGTCACAGGCCCCACTCAAGCAGTTGGGGCCTCTCATATGGGTTTTTGTTTCTTTCATAAGGGTTTTTTCTTTTTTAAAGGTTTGGAGTAATTTCCTAACCTCCATTTTGAGTCAGTGAGTGCTCTTACAAAATTCATTTATTCACAATCTTGATAGACAAAACATGCATAATGCTGTAGCAACCTAGGAAAATAAATTTATAGCAAACAAATCTTAAGAGAATGTTCACAAACTCTTAATTTAAAAAAATCCAAATAAAATAAGTCTACATTGGGTAATTATTTTTAAACTGCTAGAAATATACTCTGCTATGACCACCAGTTTTTACCCCAGTCATGATTATTATGACTCTAACATAAATTCCAAATAATTTTACAATTCAAAACGTTTTGAAAGTTACTGAGAAAAATTTAAAATGAAAATATTTCCATAGGAGTCAAGTTTGTTAAAGATGTATCTCTTTTAGAAGCATTTTGATGAGGCTGGAGGGCTGGCTGAGCAGTTAAGAGCACTGGTTACTCTTCCAGGAGACCCAGGTTGGGTTTCTACTACCCTCATGGCAGCTAACTGTCTGAAACTACACTTCCAGGAAATCCGATGCTCTCTACTGGCCTCTGCAGGCATTGCACATGGGGTGCACTTACATACATGCAGGCAAAACACTCATACACATAAAATCAATGAATAAATAATAAAGTTTTTAAAGTACTTTGAATATGAAAAATCCAGTATCTAAAACATATACATAAGTGTAACATTTGGGGAATGAGGACAGCAAGCCTGAAACCCTGCCATTTGCCTTCATTTGCCCCATGCAGTGTGATACAGGTGCAGCGTCAGGAATAGTTTGCAAACCATTTCTATCTACTACATTCTTTTAGTACTTTGGTTACTGCTGTTCTTACAGATGCTTGTTCACCAGTGTTCTTTTGGTTTAACTATAAAGAGGACTCATTACCTCCTACTCAGAGTACAGGAGCCATGTGAGCACCTAAGGCCACAGTAATATAAACTGATGATGTAAAGCCAACACCACAATTCAGCTTGTGAATATTAGAGGTGGGCATCACAACTTCTTTAGGGCCTACACCCTGTCCTGGAGTCCTAAGAGCTCAGTGTTTGAAGTGGTTTGCCAGATGCTCTTTCTACAGTAAACAATAGGTGCTGGCATTGCAAACTGACCTGTACTTCTTCTCTACCAGTACATTATTTCACTTATTGGTTGTACAGAGAAAATGAAAACAGTTCTAATAATTTTCTCATCTCCCTCAGAATGTAGTATATAGAGAAAAAAAGCTTTAAAAATGATCATCCATGTATTACTTTGCTCTATAAGGGCTCCTATAAAGACAGATTAGACAATTACAAAGTTCAGCTACAAGGCAGAGCCTTATAAAGTAATAAAAACACTTGTACATCTGTGTTTTAACTAAATATGGCCAAGTTAAATGTCTATGTCCTTATACACACTGCACTTCACTCAGCACTGCAATAAAATCCTGATTCAAAAAGACATATATATGCTTATATATAATATATATTATTTTAAGGCAGGGTCTCAGCCTGTAGATCAGGCTAGCCTTGAATTTATGACCCTCCCACCTTAACCTCATGAGTGTTGATTACAAGCATACATCACCACAACCAGCTTCAAAAATGTTTTGAAAAATGTATTTTGGAAGTCTAATTTACCTAATAGCGGTGTTATTTTTCTGCAACAAAATAAGCACAAGTTTATTCAGCAATAAGCAACAAATATGGAAATTGCAGTGATTATATGAGTTAAGAACTCAAATTATGGTTTGAATGTTTTAACAAATGAAATGAAAGGGCAGCAGTTAAATCTTATAAGGAACGAAACTGAGAGAATAAGAAAAACAACATTGACTAAGTATGTCTTTTGACTTTTCTTTATAAGAAGTTGACTTGTTTCCCTATCATTCTGTCTCTCAAATCCTAAAGATGGTTAGGGGTGGTCTGTAGTATAATACTGCTCTGCATGAAGCCTATGGTCTGGGCCTTACTAGAATTATGGCCCAATCATGTGAACCATTTGGAATATTTTTACAAATGCGCAATTATAGCTCTTATTTCATTATGATTTGACCATAGATGATCTAAATAAATTGAACACATAATTATACATATTTGCATTCAGTTATAGCTATCATTTAGATAAAATAAAAAAACAAGCTAATTTTCTTCCAATGTATTAAGTTTTTAGAAAACACAATAGGTGTTATTTGCTGTTATTTATTAATATTATCTTCACAGAGTTAGCACTAGTGGAGAATACCTAAAACCTATTTTTGGCATTTCATAGTTCATCAAGTTTAGAGTCCTTAGAAGCTATAATCCACATGGAATTCTGATTAACCACTTATATAACCTGCTCTGAAGCTTGCTATTTTCTCTATTGATCAAGCACACTGCTGACTTTCTAAGCTTTACCTTCTCTATATGTGAAATGAAGATAACATTTGCCTTAAAGGATTTCTAGGAGTCTTTGATACAGTAGGACTCAGTGCTAAGTACATATTATTTAGGTTTCCACTGCTTATGACAAAATACTTGAGAAAAACAACTTAAAAGGAGGAAACTTTTACTTTGCCTCATAGTTTCAGAGGTTGCAGGCCATGGTCTCTTGGTCTCACTGCTTTTGGGCCTGAGGTGAGGTACAACATCACAGAAGAATGCAATAGAGGAAACATTTTCACCTACAGCAACTGGGAAGTAAAAGACAGAAAAAGGGACTGGACAATGTTCCCAATCTCCTTTCCAATGGTGCACCCCTATGAACACGGGCTGGCAACCAAGCCTTCACATATCAGCCAGAAGGGACAGAAATTTAAGGTCTATCGTAACAGCAGTTTGATAAAGAAACACCCGCAATGTTTGTAAAGAAAACACCTGCAGAAAGAGCCATAGGAATCTGAAAGAAGAGACTTGGGTTAATGTGGGTTGACCAGACTTCAATTGCAAGTTTCTCTGCAAAAGCGTCTGCTTATGAATTGGCAGAGTCAACAGCAGTGTGCAGGACATAAAACAAAGAAGCCTTTGGCATGAGGGTGGGATGGACCTGGGAAGCAGTTCCTAAAAACTAGTAGGATATCTTTATAGCCCTACAAGACTGAAGGCTTCTGGTAAAAACACATCTGAACACTTCTCAAAACTTACTGTTTACTAAACATGCCCAGTGGCTATGGACAAAGTGGCACTGAAAATAAAAAGTAGGAGGCAAAGTAAAAACAAGAGAACAAACAAAAATCAGTTGAGTATGAAAGGAACCCCTTACATTGGGCTTGGTGGGCCATCTCTTTAACTGCAGACTAGGGAGGTGAGGCAGGAAGATGGCAAACCAGAGTTTAAAGTCAGCTGGGGCCATATAGTGAGTTCCAGATTAGCCTGGATTACACAGCAGGATTGTATCCCAATAAAAAAGGAAGGGAGAGAGGGAGGGAAAGGGTAAGGGAGGGAAGGAGGAAAAGAAAAAAAGAGGGGAAGGGATCCCTAGCTGTAGTTGTTGCTATAATCTTGGAACAACAGCTTTGAATGTGTTAAAAGTAAAGGACAGGATCAGAGGAGATAAAGTTTAGGTCTTGTAAAAAGTCAGAGGGAAATGTTTTAACTCAAAACCCCCTGAAAACTACACATTCAATATCTGAACATTAGTGCATGTGTATACCTGAAGGCTATATAACAAGGAACACAGTGTCAGATAGGAGAAGCATCCCTTCAAGTTGTTGGTCAGGGTAATCCAAGAGACTCCCCAAATAACACAGGCTGTTGCCACAGCCCTTGATTACCTACCAGAACTTGAAGGTAAGACTCTACTGCTGAAGACAGACATACTTAAAGGACTTGGATCAATGGAGCTGGAACTGACCTGGAAGCCTCCTCTCTGAAGACTAGCTCTCATAGTTTAGAAGATACAATGCAAGCTAGTAAGGGAAAAAATCAATCAATGGTCCATCCCATTGATTAGCTCTAAAGCTTAAAACCACAATGACTGGCACAGCAAACTACCTCTATTGGTACAGTGGTGGCACTGTTATCTAAGAGGTAATCAATACCTACCTAATTGGACATAAAACCCTCTCAATGGAAGGGAACTCATGAGTGGCACTGTAAATATAGCCAAATACGCATGGCTGGGGAGGGCATAGATCCTAGAGAATACCCTATCTCTGCCATATCTCTAGATGAATGAAAATTTCTTACCATATGCTAAATATGGATCCTTATATTTACAAATGTACTATACACCACTCGCCAAAAAAGCTTTTTTTGCAACAGATGGAGGTTATTACAGAGCTCCACAACTGGTCACACACAGAGAATATGTCTGAAAGACGCCCAGCCCCAAGTGACACATCTACAGTGGAACCTGTACACCTAAGGTTCGTGGAACATAGCGGAACAGGGAGTAGAAAGAATACTAATCCATCCCTCAAATCTCACCAGTGAAGCTTCCTCATACAACAGAATATGAGGCACACAAAAGGTCACAACTAGCTAATTTTTAGAGAATAACAGACTGTAAAGTGTGTGTCTCTTGATAGGACTCCTTTATTAAATCTCACCCACCCATGGCTCAGGGACCATTGCAGAACAGGGGACGGAAAGATTTTAAGAGCCACAGTTGGTGCAAGAACATAAGGAAACAGGTTTTTCAGGCCATTGGAAAGTTGTTCATATGAACTTGCAACAATGTTGACAGCATGCACAAGACCCATGAGGAGTCAATCAGACAAAAAGCCAGCAAAAAATGGGGGAAATGGGCACCAGGCTCCAACTCCAGCCAATGAACTATTGGCAAATGATTCTTGTGGGGTGAGGGAGAATAGATCTTTAAGGGAGTGACTCTAGATAGGCTGACTAGACTCCAGTGGATGAACTTCCACCACGGAACACCTGGATAGAAACGCTTGACCAGATAGGACTTAACATATATGACAGATTACTTGAAATCTATGGGGGAGGGCAGGGGCACTATAGGAGGGAAGAGGTATAAATCTGATTTGAAAAAAGATGGGAAAACAGCAAAAACACAGATGACTTTTAAAGAAGTTAAACTACTCTGTATGATGCTATAATGCTGGAGACATGTCATTATTCTTTGTCTAAATCCACAAAATGTAAGGCAAGCATGAACCCTCAGATAAACTGTACTTTGTGTGATGTCTCCATATAGGCTTATCAGTTTTAACAAATGCCTATGAAAGACTGATACTGTAATAAGAAATCTATACTCCTCTAGATTCATGTAGTATATAGGAAATCTTAGTTCCATCCTCTCATTTTTGCCATGAATATAGCATTGCTATAAAAGTAAAACAGACTTATAAATAAATGAAAAATTCACAAGGTCAAAAAAAGAAGTGAAGGAAATTATGCACACACAAAAAAGTTCTTTTTACCTTAGTGTAACTCAAAAATAAAATAAAAACCTAGGTCAATGGCAGAATCAAGTTCAAATTATTGGTGACTCAAATGTATTCTTCAAGGAACTACCATCTTCTCCAGCCCACCAATTTCCTTCCTCAGGGTGTAAGCGCCTTCCCTAGGCCAATCTTCAGACTCCAGTTAACTGCCTCCCTCTCAACTTGGCTTCTACCAGAACCATTCAGCTTGCAACTATTCTACATCCTTTCAGACCTAAAGGAAAGTTTCCTTTGAACAAAGGAACTGAGCATGTAAAATTTACTACAGTAAACAGATTATCCCAAATAGGAATAACATAGGATTAACTTAGATATGTGTATTGGCTACACCTTCTGGTTTAGACCATATTTTTAGGCTGTTCTGAACATCAGCTATGGTTAGGTTTATATTGTGATGGTAGCTTAAGACAAAGGACTTCAGATGCAAGATTTCAAATCATCAGTTCAAAATATCCACTTGAATATGCTATCACAAACAGCCGAGAAATGGTATCCCTAGCTAAAGATATAAAATGGGTAAATTTCTATTTAGACATCCCCATATTTCTTCTGCCCTTCTATTAAGCTCCTAAAACTCATTATGCCTTATTAAAATTCAAAGAAAAGAGAAACATAATTTTAGCAGCTAAAGAAGACAATCTGCTATCATGAAGTACTTACCATATGTATTGACTCATGAATTTATTTGGGACCACAATATACCCAATTTAACAGAAGAATTTAGGTAAAAATAATTCAGAATTGTTAAGCATTCTTTCCCCAAGAAAAATCTTTCCAGTCAATCATACAAACTACAATTTCTAGCTGGTTTTTATTTTTCAAAATTTAAAGAACCAAACATAAAAAGAATGAAAATCATGACCAAAACAGACTTTAGTACTTTACAACTATTGGGGGAAAGCAGTAAAAGTAACTACACTAAAGCGGATCATCCTTTGAGAAACCCCCACCCCCATTTATAGAAATAATGTAATAGCCTCAAAATGACTAAAAATAAATAAGTAGGAAGATAAAATATTTTTAAAATTCTGAATCTATAATCCCAGCATTTGGGAGGCAGAAGTAGAGGGATCTCTGTGAGTCTGAAGGCAGCCCGGTCTACATAGTGAGATGTTGCGGTGGGGGCTGGGGTTCCTCAGAGTCTAATTGGGAGTGTACTGGCAGATACTCTAATAAACATGGTAACTGACAATGTGACTTAGGGCTCTAAACAGTTTTCTACCAGAATTAAATTCAACTGATTATAATCACATTTAGTCTGGAAGATTAGGCTAAGGACTTAGGAAAATCTCAATATGTAGTTATTGATTTTACTATGAAGTATTCAAATAAATTAACAATGCTTGGCCTGTAGAATGTTTATAATATTTTAAAGCCCCACAAAATGTTAATTCTGGGCAGTAACTTTGAAGAAAGTAAAAAAAAAAAATCTTCAAAAATCCCAAAGTCACAGAATATCAGGCTAGTTGTGTTTTAATGGTAGAGAAAAATTTAATGGAATTCAAACTATCAGATCTGCTCCTTTTCCCCCATGAACACAATACGCATCTCTTTCTTTAGACAACCTCATCAATACCACACACCCACACACACAAAAGATAATTCCTAACTTGGCTTGTTTATTGATTTAGGGGTTTTTTTTGAGGCAGGGTCTCACTCTGTAGCCCTAGCTGGTCTGATCTCATTATGTAGACCATCCCAGGCTGACCTGGATCTCAGTAATCTGCCTCTGCCTCCTGTGTGCTGGGATTAAAGGTGGGTGCTACCACACCAGTTTCTAAGTTGGTTTATAATGAACCAATAAAGTTATCTATCTAACAATATAGGTACCCTACATCCTATAAGATATAAAACCGATAGAGCCATCTTCCAAAATCATTGAAGACTTAGAACTGAAGGCTTTCTGCATTTGTATATTAATGGCTTTTGAGGAAAATGAAGAATTAAGGTTCTTAAAGACTCTGTAACATCTTGACATCTGAAATAAAGGGAAGGCTATCAATCCTAGTTCTTGAAAGTCACACAAATTTGTCACTGTAGCTGAATTTCAATGTTTACACATGCAATATAAATTACAACTATGTATAACATTACAATACCATCCAAAAGAAAATAAGGATATACAAAATATTTGATAAATAAAATTATTATATTTAATGTTATTTTCTTGAAATTCAAAATCATCAAATTCCTAATGTTGAACCAACAAACAATGCCAGTTCAAATTATAGAAAATGTATGCCAACAGCAGCTACAAACAAAAAATGCATGTATAAAGCCCTACCTGTGGTTTGTCTCGTTTAGGTCAGGTGATCATGGAAACAAAAGAATATCAAAATTATTTTATAATATGCACATTTAGGGAAAGCATAATAGAGAGCAGAGTACTTTCTATCATAAAATTATTTACACCCATTTATTCAGCTAGAGACACTAGCTTGAGAGGTACTGGTATATTCCATTTGAAATAACTTCTCTACAGCAAACAACTGTCTTATATTCAGAATATGTTGAAGAAAATATCTCATCATTTTTATTTTTTGAGTCTCGATTACTAACAGTTCAAGGTATTATGGGAGAATCCTGGTGTCCTGGATGGCTCGAAGAATGCATTAAAACCAAGCAGTGTGTTTGTAGTCAGAAAACACTATTGAATCCACACAAATGCTTGCTGTGGAGCCAATTTCTCCTACTGGCACTGTGACGTCTGAAGAACATACGTTATGAAAGTTTCACACCGATTTTGTTTGGCTCCTTCTTCATTAGCCGCTGAGCCTCCTTTTCCATTTTCTTTCTTTGCTGCTCAGCTGCTCTCTTTTCCCGGTCTGCTATTTTCTGCTGCCTGAAGAGAGACACACTCATTAGCTTTACTCTTAGAAAAAGCAAATAAATTAGAGAAGGAAGAGCGCTTCTTACTATGAAGAAGTACATTATTAATGTCTTAAACCTTTCATCTTTTTTAGATTTTGAAAATGTTTTTGATTCTTTGAAAATTTCATACAATGTATTTTGATCATATCCAAAGCCTTCAGCTTTCTCCACCCCATGTTACTCGCCCCCTTTGTATCCTCTATTATTTTTTTAATCAAGAATATTTTTATTGAATGTTTTGTAATTTCATACAATATACTCTGATTGTGCTTAGATCCCCTCCCATCTGCACCCCCTTGCTACCTCTTCACCCATTTCAAAAATTTCAAGGATTTTCAAAAGCAGTATTTAATAGAGGGGGTATTATCTTCATTTTACAAATAGCTAAAGTGAGGCAGACAGCCCAGTGATTTGGTCAAGGTCAAAGGATTAAGTACAGGACCTGAGAACCCATATCCTTTTACCTTTCTTCAAATTATTTCCACTAAAACACTAATTCTGTTCAATTACAGTTTTGTGGAGGAGAAAACTATCCAAAAAAGAGCTTGATACTGGCAATTAACTCTCCTATTACTATGACAGTTTTTTTTTTAATCAGCTAAAAGAACACTCCTAAAACAAAACGGAAAGTTAAGACATACCTTCCATCTAGACGGTAGAAATGTAAACATTAGCATTTGACCAGCTCTAAAAGGCATAGTAGTGGGTGTTTACCAGTTCCATAGCATGAATCCTATTTCTTCCTTAGCCCCTTCCATACTCCACTGACTCAAAAGAACAAAAACTATCTTTACTGATTGACTTGTGTAGGGAGTAATATTGTGCCTGGAATGATGAAACAGGAGAAATAAAGTAGGTAATATTAGGTCTCTGCAGAAAAATCCAGGCTGGATTATCTGTATAGTAGCATATGCTTATGATGATACTGATAGTGTGTGTGTGTGTGTGTGTGTGTGTGTGTGTGTATACACACACATTCTTAAATACACATGTATGTATATGTATATGTTCTTGATGACAATTACAAATGCAAGGAGGCAGAGTTATAGATGACCAAAATTCCACAAAGTAGAAAAATTTCATTTTGGCACCATTCTGATTTCCACCATCAATTAATCAAGTTTAAAGAATGAAAGAAAGCCTACTTTTCACTTGTAAGAGAAATTGATAATTTGCACTTTATAAAAGCTCAAATCTATTTTTTTTAAGGGAGGAAAAGAATTATAAAGGGATGAGTAGGCTACAGAAAAGATTATCAAGTTCTAACCTGGTTATTAGCTTAATGTAAATATCAACAACATACCTGGCACAAGAAACACTTTAAAAATTACTGCAGACAAAATGTATTTTAGCCTCCACTTTCATAACTGGAATTGCATATGCACCAGAATCATCTTCCTTCACAATAATGATCATAGAACTGGAGTATTTTAAGTTGACAATTGAAAAATTTCTGGTAGTACGATGATTTGAAATATAGGCATACTTTTCGCAATGTTCAGTATATTTCTAGAGGCAGGAATGACACAAGTCTCCATGTCCCTTGACTATATTTGTGCAGCACACAGCAAAAAACATGTCTTCTGTCATTATAATATAAAACGTTATTTTTTTATTTTTGTTTTGAGCAGCAAAAGAATAGATGGAAAAGAAAAGGTTTTAGACCAATGTTAAGAATCTCTGCTCATGGACCTGGGCTGGAGAGATGGCTCAGCGGTTAAGAACACTGACTGCTCTTGCAGAAGACCCGGATTCGGTTCCCAGCACCCACATAGCAGCTAACAACCAACCCTAACTCCAGTTCCAGGGGATCCAGCACCCTCTTCTGACATCTGTGGGCACTGCATGACACTGGTGTACTTGCATACATGCAGGCAAAACACTTACACATAAAAGAAAAACCCAAAAAACTAATAAATAAAAATACTTTTCTCATGACTAAAAGCTCTATAGTACTGTCATTATGATTACTAGATTCAAAATGAACAGCTCTTTCCTTTACTCTTGTTAATAAAATTAACCACTAGAACTCTCCAAAATTTCTAAAATATTCTGATTTTTGTTATTTATGATTTATTTTTAAAAATCAGAATTAAAATGATGTCTTTTGGGATGATCCTTATAATTATTGCGTTCACAATTTTTAAAATATCCTTTCTAAAAGACAATTACAGGCTGAGCATGGTGGCGCACGCCTTTAATCCCAGCACTTGGGAGGCAGAGGCAGGTGGATGTTTGTGAGTTCGAGGCCAGCCTGGTCTACATAATGGGATCCAGGACAGCTGAGACCACAAGGATACACTGTCTCAGAAAGACAAAAAAAAAAAAAAAAAAAAAAAAAAAAAAAAAAAAGACAATTACACTGATCAAAGGGAAAGTAAATATTAAAAACTTGCAATTTTACTTTTAAAACATGATTCTTCTTTCCTGTTTAAAAAAGACATGCTAAAAGAGGGCTGGGAGCTGTAGAGACAGCTCAGCAGTTAAGAGCACTGACTGCTCTTGTAGAGGACTGGGTTCAATTCCTAGCACCCACATGGTGGCTACAAACAGTCCTTAACTCCAGTTCCAGGGGAATCCGAAGCCCTCTTCTGACCTCTACGGCATTACACAACATGGGTGCACTCACATACACACAGACAATACACTCGTACACATAAAATAATAAAAGTAATTTTTAAAAAAATTTTTAAAAAGGTAGTGCCTGTACTTGAAGGTAAGATAGGTTTCTTGCAGACAGCAAAGACAAGAAAGCAAAATACAAAATATAAAAATGAATAACAAATCCAGAGTATTTTATACTGATGTTCCTTGATTAAATGAGCATCTAAGGTGCCCTATATATTACAATTATCCAGAATAAAAATAATTAAGCAGTATCTATATTTTACTAATAAAAAGAAACGGGCAATATTACAATGACTCCTTCTAGAGTCCCATTTCCATTTCTTTTTTTAAAAAATATTTTATTATTTTTATTTTATGAGTATGGTATGTGTGTATTGCCTGCATGTAGGTAAGTGCACCTATGTCATGCAATGAATGCCTGCGGAGGACAGAAGAGGGTGTGGGATCCTCTGCAACTGGAGTTACGGACAGTTGTTAGCTGCCACATGGGTGCTGGGATTCGAACCCAGGTCTTTTGAAAGAACAGCCAGTGTTCTTAACTGCTGAGCCATCTCTCCAGCCCCTCATTTCCATTTCTAATCATTAAGATAAAAAGAAGTATTTGGTTATACCTTCATGGCCTATAAAATTTTGATTTTCTAATAGGTTTGATCTCTTGTTTCTATTAATATTATTAATATTTGGTATGTAAACGACATTCTTGTTAAGAAATTTTAAAAATATGATATTGTTATGCAATTTTTTCTATCGTATGTTTTTCATTTACTTTTTCAAACTAAATCTGGTATGACACCAATATAATAAAACAGATGGAGTCATCATCTATAGATAAGAGCTACTAGAGTTAGAGCTAGCCACTCCATATGTGGTCATAGCTATAAGGTCTAACTGGTCTTAAGAAAAACCAAAGATCCAAAGATTAAAAGACAATTGGTTTGTTTATATATTTCAAATATAAATAAAATACTTCATGGAGTACAAATAACTGTAAATACAGGATGGAAACATAGTCACTTTCTTTTTTTTTTTTTTTGGTTTTTTTAAAACAGGGTCTCCCTGTAGCCCCAGCTAGCCTAGATCTCACAATGTAGACCAAGCTGGCCTTGAACTCACAGAGATCCGCCTGCCTCTGCCTCCCAAATGCTGGGACTACAAGTGTGCACCACCACGCCACGCAATGTTCCTGATTATTTTAATTTAAGTAATAATCCTATTATATGACACATGCAGATATTATGTCAGATACAGAGGACAAAAGAAAGGAAAAAAGTCAGAAATAGATCATGATGGCTAATAGTTTTGATATGATTCAAGAATTTCTATATTAATGGCTTCATCAGCTAGCTATTCCTCTCTCCTGAAGACTGCTGTCTTGCCTACAAACTAAGCCTCATCTACATCAGATTCTAGGAATGGGCCTTCCTAGCAACATGAGAATAAATAAAATGAAGCCTCTACTCACACAAAATATGATGCTTGGTCAGCAGGAGGAACTGTGAAAGAAAGTTCCCAGAGAAATCCTGCATCTAGAACTGAACTTCCTGCAAGGCTGAACAACTGATTAACCCTTCAATGACTGTAGAGAGCTTGGAATGGTGCAGATCCAGAGCTTATCTACAATTACCTTGAGCTATCTTCAGCCTCCAAATAGCCACTCTTTGCCCACCTCTGTTTCTGACCTTAATATCTTGTGAGTAATAACTGAATGTATCCAACAAAGTATTTGAAAAGTGTCTTGATTTATGACTTTTCTTGTTCTGTTACTAGAAAAAAATTCATGAAACTGCTTCCAAGCTGGAACATAGAATTCTGGGCAGCCTGAATCTATGTTCCCAGGCCATGGACACTCATATTTGGCTACAGAATAAACTATCTCTTATCTCCTTAGGATTAGGATCTGGAAGTGTTTACTTTTTCTCTCTTAAAATAAGAGAAAAACAGCTTCTAAAATCTCTGGTTATCAGGTAGAATCTGCTTATCTTATCTTTGGAGGTCAGAGGAAAGGCAGGCTGCTTCTCAGCAGAGTTTGTTTCCCTTGACTCCAAAGGTCAAGGTGAGGTCCCTGTTGGGGAGGGGGGAAACTGCTGCTATTTGGAACCCTAACAATATATACGTGTGTGTATATATATATATATATATGTATATGATAGATTAGAGAGAGAGAGAGAGAACACCATCTGTAACTCCAGTTCCAGGGAGTTTTCTGACCTCTGAGGGCTTTGCATGACCCAGGTGTACTTGCATAAATACATGCAAAACATTCATATACATAAAATAAAATTAAAATTTTTTTAAATACATAAAAATGAAATCAATTGTTGAGACAACTAGGTAAAAGTTCATTTTCTAACCATATGATAAAAATAATCTGCATTTTAAAATGAAAATTATAGCACTGCATTTTACTATAATATATATATTTGAGAAAGGGTCTTCCTATAGCCCAGCTGGGCTTAAACTTGACCAGGGCTGGCTTCAATCTGACAGAGATCCACCTGCCTCTGCCTCCTGAACACTAGGATTAAAGGTATATGCCACCACATCTAGTTCTTACTATATAATTCTTAAAGGCATTAGTAAGATGAATTTACATTTGCATTTTAATCAGTTTTTTGCTCTAATGTAGAAGCACAAGAACTGAGTTTATTATTCACAATAACAAAGAAAGAACATCTAACAAAGTGAACTTTAAAGCTACAGAATAATATTCACTTTTCTGTAGAATAAGGTAGTTTATATAACTTCCCTGCTTCACAGGACTTTAATGGGCACTAATATAGATATGGAGATACAGGGTTATATAAACTATTTTCGTTGACATGTGCAGTTCTAACTCTACACTAAAGCTCACATGAGGCAATTAGAACAAAATTATACCTTCTGACCTAGAAGTATGTAAAGTGGCAGCTCACATTTCACAGTAGGGTACCATGACTACGATTGGTATATCTATGTAAGATTTCCCTTGCCATTAGTAAGATTATTATCCTTCTATTCCCACAATGTTTTAAATGTATAATATCATACAGTATGGATAGGAAATCTGAAATACAGAGCAAGTTCTTTGAGGAACAAGTTCACTTAGGTTCAATGCGGAAGAATAAAGACAGACATTTAGCAAAGAAGGCTTCCTTCACCTTAAATAGAACAGGGAACAAATCTAGCTATTCTGCTCAGGGTCTCACATAAATATCACTCAAATACCTCAGAACTTCTTCTGCTTGCCAGGCTGCATCTTCTTCTTCTTCCCATGCATTGGTATTTTCCTGCCAGGTATCTAAGTCACCTAATTCAGACTATAGTGAAAAATAAAAGAAAAACAAAAATAGTAAAGACCCATCATTTCTCCACAAGGCAGTTCAAAGAACAAACAAACCAAAAAGTAGTTTTTAAAACCTAATTCAAAAAAATACCAATACTTTCTTTTGGTTTCCTAACTTCCTTACCAGGTCCTACATGGCAAAAAAATAGCCTCTGGTTTACCTAAGGCTGCAGGTTTCCTGACAATGCTATAATGTGTGATTTTCCAAAGTGCTAAAAAGTTCTGAGCAATCATGACTCTTATGGGGGCAACCGTCCGCTGAATGAATCTGAGGCCTGTTCCACAAGACAGGATTCATGCCTGGTAATATAAACCTTGTCTAAATTTCATGGCTAGGGAGGTCAAAGTCCCTAGGGGGGAAGAGCTACTGCTGTTGTTTTGCTAAATGGATACACTGCACCCATTAAATTACCTTCTAAAGATTTATGTTTATGACCAAAGATTGGTGCTGCTGTCAGCTCTGGTGAGAGGAACTTTTATTATTATTATTATTATTATTATTATTATTATTTTATGTGTATGTGTGCATTGCCTGCACATATATAAGTGCACCCATGTTGTGCAATGCCCGTGGAAGAGGGTATTGGGTCCTCTGTAACTGGAGTTACAGACAGTTGTTAGCTGCCATGTAGGTGCTGGGATTCAAACCCAGGTCTTCTGCAAGAATAGCCAGTGCTCTTAACTACTGAGCCATCTTTCCAGCCCCAGAGGAACTTTATTTCTGTGGCAGTTGTCATTGAATAGATTCTTAACTAGTCAATGTGCTGAGGACAAGTGACTGTTGAATGCTTAGCACCCAATGGGACATATTTATCAACCCCTTCCTACACCTACCACCAAGACTCTGGGAACATCTCAGAAGTTGGGGCAGAAGGAATGGACAGAGAGAGGTGGAATGTTGTTGAACTCAGTCTTCAGGGCATGACACAGCAATTGCACTCAAGAACTCATAGCAGCTCTGAGTAGTTATACAAGACCTATGCATGAAAGTGTCCCTCAGCCCTTTGCAATGGAGTAGGAGTGGGGGGCATGAGTCCATCTGTACCTGAGGAACTATTGGCAGTTAATGGGTTCTGGGGAGAGAAAGACACTATCTTCAGTGGTGTAGCTGGCAAGTTGCCCATGTTCCTGTAACCAATTCTAATTAAAATTCACTGGTTAACATAAAAAAAAAAAAAAAAAAAAAAAAAAAGGAGACCTTCCCACTTTCTTCCTATTTATGTTTTACAGGACACTGATTTCTATTTAATATTTAATTTCTGATTTCTATCTAATTTCTGACTATACAAGAATGCATTATTTTTTCTTTATCCTCCTTTTCAATATGAGGAATGAAAGGGAGAGAAAAAAGACTGACTGAATGACAATGCAGGATTTAACTAATCTGTGATGAGGGGAAGTTTCAAAACTACCACAGCAATCTTAACCATATTAAACATATAGATATTTTTCAGTGGATCTTCTTGTTTCCAACCTAGACAGAAATGATTAATCGGGAAAATTTTCTCAAAATTGTACCTTATTATTTAACTTTAAATTTCTTTGAGAAATAAGAAAGCCAAAACTTCATGCTATTAAGTTGTATCCATTTCTTATTTGTAATCTTTCCACTCATTTTTCCATAGAAAAATTTACACAAAATATAAAATAAAATAAAATAAAATAAAATAAAAATATGGACTCACAGAAGACAACAAACAGCCAAAGCAAGCTTGAGCACATAGAGCAATGCTGAGGGGATTACCATACCAGATCTCAAACTATAATACAGAGCTACAGTCACAAAAACATCACACTGACACAAAAACAGATACGTAGATCAATGGAACATAAAAGAAGACCCAAACATGAGGGCACACAATTTCAGCCCCTTGATATTTGATAAAGGTACCCAGAACATATGCTGGAGCAAAGATAACATCTTCAACAAATGGTGCTGGCAAAACTGGATCTCTACCTGTAGAATGAAAATGGACCCTTACCTTTCACCCTGCATAAAAGTCAACTCCAAATGAATCAAAGACCTCAGTATGAAACCTGAAACTCTGAAACTGCTAGAAGAAAACATAGGATACAGTACCCTACAAGATACAGGTTCAGGAAAGGACTTTATAACTCAGACATCAGTTGCTCAGTCATTAAGATCAATAATCAACAAAGTAGAGCCTCTTAAAAGCTTCTGCACAGCAAAAGAAAAAATCCAAGGAAGTGAAGAGGAAACCCACTGAGTGGGAGAAAATTTTCACCAGCTACACATCTGACAGACATTTAATACATAAAGAATTAAAAAAAAAACAAGAAAGCAAATGACCCAATTAAAAGAAGGGGTATGGATCTGAACAGAGAGTTCTCAAAAGAAGAAATAAAAATGGCTAAGAAACACCTTAAAAGTGTTCAACATCCTTAGTAATTACGGAAATGAAGATCAAAAACAATTTAAGATTTCATCTTCCCCCAGTCAGACTGGCTAAGATCAAGAGAACAAATGATACCAAATGCTGGCAAGGATGTGGAGAAAGGGGAACACTCATTTACTGCTGGTGGGATTGCAAGCTCATGCAACCACTATGGAAAACAGTATAGAGAACTCTAAAAAACTAACAATCAATCTACCTTATGATCCGGTTATACCACTCCTTGGCATATACCCAAAGGACTCATCCTACTGCAGAGACACTTGTACATTCATATTTGTTGCTGCTCTTCACAATAGCTAAAAAATGAAAACAAGCGAAATGTCCTCAACTAACAAATGGATAATGAAAATGTGGTACATTTACACAATGGTGTTCTACTGAGCAGTGAAGAAAAACGAAATCATGATATCTGCAGGTAAACAGATGGAATGAGAAACTGTTATACTAAGTGAAGTAACACAGACACAGAAGAACAAGTGATATACATTCTCATTTGTGAATCTTAGCACCAAGTCCTTAAATGTGAGTACATATGCTGATGTAACCATAGGAGCCAGGAAAATAGAAAAGGATCACAAAGTAAAGGTAAAGAACAACTGAGAGAGGGGGATAGTAGGAAACAGATATTACCAAGGAAGAAATTGGGAAAATGGGGGTATTTAAGTGGGAAGGAAAGAGGGAAGGATATACAAGGAATCATGGTGGGGAAGAAGGAGTTCAAGAGATAGGAGATAATAAGAGACAAGTATTATCAAGGGAAAAATGGGGGTACTTTAGTCAGGGAGGGAAGATGGAGCGTTAGACAGGGAGAGATATATGAAATATAAATATAATGCCTAGCCGGTGTGAAAAAACCACTCCTTGGAGAGAAGTCTACATAGTCAAAAGCCTACAGAAAAATAACATATACAGTCTGTACACAAGTGCATGTGTATAGCTGAAGGCTATGTAACAAGAAACACATGCCAGATAGGAAAAACCTCCCTTCCAGTTGTTGGTCAGGGTGGTCCAAAAGACTCCCAAAACAACACAGACTATTGCCACAGCCCTCAATTACCTCCCAGAACCTGAAGGTAAGAACTAATTGCTGAAGACAGGGCATACTTTGGACACAGGTCTTAGAGAAATGGAGATGGAGCTGATCTAGAAGTCTCCTCCCTGAAGGCTACTCTCATAATTATAGAGCACAGTACACAAGTTGGTAAAGGAGAAATTCAATAAGTTGTTTACCCCTAGCTTTAAAGCCTAATAACTACACAATGACTGGCACAACAAACTATATCAGAACAATAGTGACACTTTTATCTTGGGGGTAAACAACAGCTATTTAATTGGACTTAAAGCCCACTCAGTGGGAGGGAATTCGTGTGGGACTGTAGACATAGCCAAATACACATGGCTGAAGAGGTCACAGAGCCTAGGGAAAACTCTATGTCTGTCACATTCCTAGACAAATATAATTTCTTATTGTATGCTAAATACATATCTTTATATTTACAGAGTAGTATGCAGTCACCACGCATCAAAGAAGTTTCTTTTTGCAACAGATGGAGACAATTACAGAATTCTACAACTGCTCACACACAGAGAATAAGTATCTCTGAAATGCTCAGCCTTAAGTGACACATCTACAGTGGAACCTGTACACCTAAGGCTCACCACATATAGTAGTGGAATAGGGGGTAGAGAGAATACTAATGTATCTCTCAACTCTCAGCAGTGAAGCTTCCTCCTCCAACAGATGGTGATGAACACAGAAGACCACAACTGGCCAATGTGTAGAGAATAAAAGACTTCAGAGTACATGTTCCTGTAAAAGACTTATATTAAACCTATTCACCCAGGGCTCAGGAACAACTGTGGAAAAAGGGGCAGAAAGACTATAAGAGCCAGGGGTGGTACAAGACCATAAGGAGACAGAGCCTTCCAGGCTTCTGGGAACTTGCTCATATGAACTCACAATAATGGTGACAACATGCACAAGACCCATGCAAACTCAATCAGACAAAAACTAGTATAGACCGTGGAAAATGGGCAGGAGGCCCCAACCTTAGCCAAGGAACCATTGGCAGTTGATCACTGGTGGATGAGGAAGAGCCAATCTTCTTTAAGGGAGTGATACTAGATAGGTTGAAGAGTTCATGAACTCATGAGGGACATCTGGGGGCACAAGCTTGTCTCGATGGGCCTTGTGCTGGATAGGTTTAGTTGTTAATTTGGCACACCTGGGCAGAGGGAGCCTTGACTGGTGAATTGCTTCCATTAGACTGGCCTATGGCCATATCTGTGAGGCATTTTCTTGATTACTGAGTGATGTAGGAGGGGGCAGGCCACTGTGGGTAGTGTCACCCTTGGGCAACCAGGCCTATGTTGTATAAGAAAGCAGGTTGAGCAGGGGCCACAGGAACAAGCCAGTAAGCAGCGTTCCTCCATGGCCTGTGCTTCAGCTCCTGACTCCAGGTTCTTGTCCTAAGTTTCTATCTTGGGCTGATGAACTGTGACCCAGGAGATGTAAGCCAAATAAACCCTTGCCTCCCCAACTTGGTACTGGTCAGAGTATTTTGTCACAGCAATGGAGAAACAAACTAGAAGAGGCCTTAACATATATGACAAAATGCATGAAATCTGGTGGGTGGGCTATGGGGGTGTGCAGATAGGGAAGAAGGTCTAAATATGATTAAGATACATTGTAGGAAATGCAAAAAAATTTAATAAAAATACATATTGAAAAAAATTAAATAATAAGACCACTAAAAAGAATGAGTTCAGCTTTGTGCAGCAGCAGTATCGTAGCCAATGAGGTTTATCTTAGGCACAATTATTGCTTTAAAAAAATGATTTCTTTAGTAAAAAATGGTCTTCAAAGGAAAAAGGAAAAAGCTGAAAAAAACACAATAGAAAGGTCTGTCTACATAAAAACTCATTACATCTGAAACTAGAGAGATGGCAGTGGGCAAAGTATGTGCAAGCATGAGGACGAGCTGGGACCCTCGGCATCCAAATAAAAATAAGTAAAGCGGAAAGCAAAAGAGAAGATACTAAACTTTGACTTTGCCTCTACACACACACACACACACACACACACACACACACACACACACACACACACATAACACACACAGGCTCACAAGTGCATGCACACATGCATATACATGCATATACATACAGAAATAAACCTAAATACAGTGGCTGGAGAGATGGCTCAGTGATTAAGAGCACTGGCTGCTCTGCAGAGGGCCTGGGTTCAGTTCTCAGCCTAATGAAGACTAACAGCTTTCAACTCAAGCTTCAAGGGATCTAATGCCCTCTTCTGACCTCTGTGGGCATTGCACGACATGGGTACACTTACATACATGCAGGCAAAGCACTCATACACATAAAATTTAAAGAAAACACCTAAATACATGTGTCCATCAAAAATATCCAAACTAAATCAACAAAAAACTGAGTTTCCACAATACAAATGACAAAGACAAAGACAGAGTATCCAGTTTTAGAAACAATCTACCCTGAGAACCTAGAGGAAGGGCAGCAGCTAACAGTTACTGGGGAGAGACTTTTCTTTAGTGGTGTAGCACTGGCAAGGTGTTCATGCTCCCATGTTCCTGTAAACTGCTACTATAAATAACCCCCTCAGTCATGCTCTGATAAGCAACTCTAATGAAACTCATGGGTCAACAAAAACAAAAACACATGAAAGTAAACAAAAAAAACATGAAAGTAGAAATATCTATAATGTTTTATTCTCACGGCATCATGTAAGGACATAAAAGCTATCAATGTTTTTAATTATGTGTGTGATCATTTAATATTGTCTTCCCACTACATCCTGGAAAATCAGTAGCTATACCTCAAGGAAATTATAGAAGCCCTGTAGAAGGGTATATGGCAATGGTAAGTAACAGAGGCTTTGTGCAAACCGTTAAAAGTGAGCCCCTTCAGAAATGATCCCGTAAGCCCCAGTCAAGTCTGCAGCTGACTACACACTCAACTCAGTGGCTATTTACAAATTCATTAGAAACCCCAAGACAGAATCACACAGTTTAAGCACCCCTGGATTCTTGATTACAAAAACTGTGAGAGATAATGTTTATTACTGTCTCAAGTCATTAAATTTGGGGTTATAACCGGTAGCTGATGCAATCGACCATTCAAAGCATGCTTGGGCCTGGGGAGGGATCTAGGTATTTGTGGACTTTTTTTTTCTTATAAGATTTTTATTTGGAGAAATAAAGTGATTTCATAACTTACAAGACGTGAAAACTACTGAATTAAATGCTCTGTGAAGCATCCTGTGTCCTAAAAATAATTCTATAAAGTTTAGGATGCCAATTTCTTTCTTTTCTTTGTATAATTTTTGTTGAATTTGTGTGTATTTCATACAAAACATCTTAATCATTTTATACCCCCTCCCCTAAAGCATGGAGAATAAAAGTGTGCAGAGTGCGGGTCCCTGGATGGGACTCCTATATTAAACTTCAACCACCCAGGGCTCAGGGACAATTGTGGAAGTGGGGGTGGAGAGATTTTAAGAGCCAGGGGAGGAGTGCATGACCATATGGAAAGAGAGTCTTGCGGGTTCCTGAGACTCTGCTCATATGCACCTACAGCAATAGTGTCAGCATGCACAAGATCCATGCAAGCTCAAGCGGACAAAAGCCCAGCACAGAACTGGGGAAATGGTTAACAGTGCCACAGCTCATTCTCTGCTATGCTCCCAAGTGCAGACAACCCCAGATGTTCACTGTTTGTTGCTTTTTTCTTTAGTTCCACTTAAATCAAATTCATCTTAAGTTAAATCACATTTTAAATATAATCTTAATGAGGGAAATAATTCATAAATCAAAACTTACCTGCATTAAGATTAATTACTTTAGGGGTTAATTTCTTTATCACAATTTGTCTTACTGTGCTTGTATATAATAGCACCTTTACCTTAGTATCTGATATAATTTATAATCATAAAATGGTAGTTAGTACTATTCTAGGTCAGGAGCATCTCATGAATTTTTAAATCTGATCAATTCATTAACAGTATTTCCCTCTTCTTAAAACAAAACAACAACAACAACAAACTAGAAACAAAGATTAAGCCTGTCCCTAGGTCTCATGAATATACTTACAGATTGGTGAATAAACGGCATGTCTTGTGTAGCTGCTAATCTACTGGAGAAACCAGTGTTACCATCTGGAACACCAAAATTTAGTGGTTCTCTCTTCTTAATGACTATCTGAAATACAAGATAGTACTATAATTATATTTTATATAAAACTATATGAAAATAAATGATTAAGGCATTTGGTAGTTATCTAAATCATGTTCTTCTTTTTCAAAGTTTACAATACAGTAAGAAAACAAGGCGGGTGTGGTGGCACACAACTTTAGTCCTAGCACTTGGGAGGCAGAGGCAGATGGATCTCATAGTGAGTTCCAGGACAGCTGGGGCTACAGGGAGACCCTGTCTCAAAAAGACCAA